AGAAATTGACAACCTGCTTGTAGCACTAAGCCACAAGAGAATTCAAGCAGGTTTTTTAAGAAAAAAGCTGCATTGTGTAGGCAGTGTCGGCTGGTTTTTACCGTTTCTAAAGCTGCCACCATGCGCCGTATATGTAAACGTGTCTACGTATAGGAAAAATCAAGAAAGAAAATTGGCAGATCTCACGTACAGTGGCAATCGATGGTATGCGAAGCACGAATGAGGGAGGTTGATATGCCACTTTAAAATTAGCACAACGTTACGAGGTGGAAGTAAATTATACCATATATTACTTCCGTCTCATGATTATCATGTTTGGATGTGTCGTTTACCTCCGTCATGTATTCACGTCACGTGATACCAAATTTAGTATATGTAGACCTAGCAAAACGCCCGCGAGCACGCTATGAGCGTGGTACGTTGTCATGTTCTTTCATGACACGCGTGTCAGGATTATCATGTTTGCACCAGTCATATACTTCGTCATCCATTAACGTCACGTAACACAAAATTTGGTATATGTGGAGCTAGAAAAACGGCCGGGAACGCATCATGAAAGGCCCAATATACTCCAATGTAGCGTTCGATGCAATGTAACGATCAATCGATGCCTGCATAAACCAGTTTTCTTCCAGACGGTGCCCTATGTAGCGTGGCGCCGTGCAGTGGTTGCATGTTGGCACAGAGTTTGCATGTTGGCACAGAGTTAGAATGCCATGTGTTTGCTGTAAATGATCTGAAATTTATTTCTGAATGTCATGCCTGCATATCGATTGTAAATCTAATCGCATGCGTGCACAAGCCTTTATATGGTGGTCAACCAAAAAAATTGCCCCGTATCTGTATGTTAATATGCAAATGTAGTCGAAAGACGATAGTCTTGGGCCTATAGAGAGTGAATAAAACGTTTATTTGATGTTCTCCGCAAGAAAATCGGTGAGCAGTGCCTCCAGAATCGCATTCATCGATTTTCTCGCGGAGAACATCAAATAAACGTTTTGTTCACTCTCTCTAGGCCCAAGACTATCGTCTTTCGACTACATTTGCATATTAACATACAGTTACGGGGCAATTTTTTTGGTTGACTACCATTTGAAGGCTTGTGCACACATGCGATTAGATTTACAATCGATATGTAGGCATCACATTCAGAGGCAATAAGGTGTAGAACGCAAGGCGACGGGTACATATAGGTGCCACCACCGTGTCGTCTAAGCAAAGCGTCGGAAACACTTCCTTTTTCGTGCAAGCGTTGCATGGTCAGCGCAGCGTGATAAACGCTACAGTCCTTAGAATTACTTATGTATGCCTTTTCTAGTAAAAGACGCACACACAGAATATATACGTGCTGTTATGGTGCCTCACATATGCGCAGTAATTGCTTTTAAAGACGATAGTATTTCTTGGGGACCTTAGACGCAAAAATCTTGGTCTGTCTGTCTGTCTGTACATTTGTCTGCTAGTCCACTCTTAACGGCACCGGCTACTTAAAACGGCCAACCCCATCCGCAGCACACACCAACATTGCTCAAGATTTTGCGTTCATACTAGTGCAATTGTCGATTAAAAAGCAATTATTGCGCATGTCTGGGGCATCATAACAACACGTATATTTTCTGCATGTGCGTCTTTTACTAGAAAAGGCATGCATAAGTAATTTCAAGGACCGTAGTGCTTGTCACGCTGCGCTGACCATGCAATGGTTGCACGAAAAGGCGAGTGTTTCAAACGCTTTGCTGAGACGAGACGGTGGTGGCCCCTACCCGTCGCCTTGCGTTCTACACCTTATCACCTCTGAGACGGGTGCGCACACCCATCTCAGAGCCACGCGCTTCGTTTTCCAAGAAAACTGCCAGATGGCGCTGATGTCTCACGTGTGACGTGACTTGATGCGCCCGTTTGCCTCCGCTGCACGCTTGAGGCACTCTAACGCAGCGCATCCATAATACCATTCACCGATTTTCTTGCGCAGAACATCAAATAAATGTTTTTCCATTCTCTCCACACGCAAGACTATCGTCTTTCAACGGCATTTGCAGATTAACACGTAGATACGGGGCCATTTTTTTTAATTGACAATCGCACAAGTATGAACACAATTTCGAGCAACATTGGTGGGCACTGCGGATGGGGTCGGCCGTTTGGGGTATCGGCTGGTGCAGTTTAGAGTACCCGGTATCTTTAAGGGTGGACAAACAGACAAATGGACAGACAGACAAAATTATGCGTCGAAGGTTTCCAAGAAAGAGTATCGTCTTTAAAACCGATTTTTGTGTGTGTGTGCAGAAAGATGCTCTCTTGAGGAGTATCAGGAAGGATTGAAGCACTGCGGCTGGTTGGTACACAATTAGTGCGGCAACAAAGTGTTACGGTTAACCACGAGGGGAAGAACCCCCAAAAGGGGGTTATATTTTCTCCCATCCCGTGTTGACAGATCTCAACATAGAAACGTATTAACACTGATATACAGCGAAAGCTATTATGAGATCAAAGCTCGGGTCATGCGCGGCGCCACAGTTGTCCGCCGCCGGTATCCGTAACCACTTCGCACGAAATAAAAACTTAGTGCAAAGGACTCATTGGGGCTCGAACCAGAGTCCACTGCGTGCCAGCCCTGTATTCTACCCCTAAGACACACCGGCGCTTGGGACTTGTTCGCAAGTTTGCCTTAGGAAGGCTTTATGTCAAGAAAGGAATCGCGTAGTTTGAGTAATAAAGCGTTTTATAACATACGAAAAAACAACTAGACGTCACACAATGCGAATGGCGTAACGATTGGGTCGTCTAATGCTCCAACCCATCACAAAAGCTTGTTCTTGATCACAGATTAACTGTGGCGCATACCCATTCTAGGCATAATTCCTCATCGTCGTCAGCCGCTGCATGAACGATTGGCACAAAATTCCTTGCAAGCGCTTAGCAGATACAACGCTTCTCATAAGACCGACAAAAATAGCATTGCGAATGCTGGTCTACTACCCAAAAATTATTAATATTAATACCGTAGTGGGTATACAGCTAGTGTGCTTGTAGCAGTTACCCAATGAGTGCTTAGAAAAGGCTCTGAAAGGCCGCTCTTCTAGCTTTTGCTGTGACTGTGCTGCGCCTTCCGCGCAGACCTGGCGTTTTAGGGGGGGAAGCTCCTTGAGCCATAGTTTGGTCCCTCCGTACGTAGTACGTAGTCACCTCTAGTCTATTACTTGCTCAATAGATGGCGTTCTGTGTACATGCATGTTCTTGATGATAGTATAACTAGACGACGTTAGTGCTTTTTACAGCATATCCACGGAGTGAATAATGATGAGTGGGGCGAAGCGTCCTTCGTTCATCCAAGAGGTCACGTGCGCATGCCGTACCCAAACAAGTGCAATCCCCGAGCACGCGAGCGGTGCTGCTTTGTTGACCAGCGTTATATTGTGGTCTTCTGCCTGTTTCTGCGGGATAATATGGAAACGCTGGCTTAGACGCGGTAGAATAGACGAGAACAGTGCGCGAACGCGTAGGGAGCGTTCCACGGTGGTCGTCTACTCGATGCGCTGACCGTGGAGACACGAACGCATGCGAAACGCCGACACATTAGCCCCGCATCTCGTTGAAATCCACGGGAGAAAAATGAAAAGACGCTCACATTCTCTTATTGCGTTTCATTATTTACCTAGAGTTTTCTTAATCTCTTTAAGCAACAAATTACATAAACTACGCATGCCGTGTTAGATCATTTTCGCCATGTGACGTGCCACTGTTTCCAACGTCAGAGCAGAGTCGTCTACGTAGATGACCAACGTCACAGCATTGCCGTGAACGTAGGGCCATTCATACGCGCACGTCATGCCCTCATTCTCTACGCGTGCGCCGGCAGAGGAAAGGGGGAGCAGCTTTCATCTTAAAAATTTACCCATTTCGACGGCACGTAGCGCTTGTCAGCTCAAAATTGTCAAACCTGGTGAGTTGCTCTTTAAGAAAAACCTTACATATGCAGTGTTGACCCCTCTACGAATGCAAATAATAAATTTCAGGGTCCCAGCAGGAATCGAACCCAAGCATTCTGCGTGGCAGCCAAACATTCGACCACAGAGCTACGCCAGGTCTCGGAACTATACTTTTCAAATAGGCGCTAATCTTCGTTAACGTCCATAGCGGTTGCAGTGCTGCCGATCCAGCTTTGATACAGTTGTCACGTCGGGTCAACGTCAATTGTGGTGTTGATTTATGTAGCAGTGTCAAGGGCCAGCATCTTCGTGAGCATCAGCGCTTCATATAAGCTTCTGGTGTTGCTAATACGCATGTTCCATTTGACATCGTCGCGCAAGTACAAACAACCGGTTACTGGTTATATAAACATCTCAAACTCTTCAACATATGTCTGCGCGTGCAACATTTGTACATATAATTAGCGTCGTTTCATGACGTATCGCTCAATAAAAAAATCGCAACACGGTCGCCCTTCCTCCGCATGCTTCGCATAACGTCGATTTCCAGGTACGTTGTATCTGCCGAATTTTTACAATTTCCAGCGTCTCTCCACCTAGCGCAAGGTGCTGTTTTCTGCCGAAACGCTGCACATATATTTTTGTGCATATTAATTTTCAGACTTACTTTTCTGCTATCCTTGTCCAGTTCGGATATCACGAGCTGTAATTCGTACCCTGAGTTACTCATCAAGGCAATGTGATCAGCGAATCACTTATCCATAAATCTTCCAAATCCTGGACAGCTCCTGTATACTCGCGGTGAATAGCATCGGAGAGATCGTGTGTATCATCTGTGTGACACGAGTACGCATGTTACACGAAAACAGCTCACGTTATTGAAACAGCGGCCATTTATGTAAAATCGCCAAATGTACGGATTTCGTCAGCTACTGTATATTGTCTGTTTGAAACAAACAATCGTAATCGACGAACGTGATTAGCCACCTTGAAGCGAACGCGCTCAGAAAAAGAAAAGAGCGCTTTCCGATACAGTATCCATCTTGCATGCAGCTAAGAAGCGGCACGTACCTGACCGGCGAGGAGGTTGCCCCGTCTTCCGCGCGGCCTAGCAACGACGAAAGCACAGCACGCCGACGACGCTCGCTCGTCCCTCTGCTGATGGGAACCGGCTTTTTCCGTTTCTCACCAACCCTGCATGGTAGTCGCCAATCGAATAGCGCGCAATGGTGGCACGCACTCACCGCCGCCAGAGCGCGTTGTTACAGAATACCTAAATTTGTCGAGCCGCCGGTGACGTCAGCAGACGCTGTCGTCGAAGGCCGCGGAGCACCGCTTTTATTTCTTTTGGAGGTTCGCGCTCGAGTGGCTCAGCGGCACGAAGATTACGCACCGACGTCTTTAACAAGCGAACATGATGGCGCCGCACATTGTCCTACTCGAGCCGGAAATAGATATAAAATAAGGCCCGTTTTCAAAAGCCTTTTTCAGCTAACGTTAGTACCTTGACTGAGGGCTACGACGCACGACCGTTGTCTCAACGCATCCGCGAGCAGAATTCAAGGCCCAAGGACACTGCGCCCTTGAGGCGGTGTGTCGGGGCGACGACGTCTGAGGGCTGGTGTCGCATCCTGTGTGCGTGTGCGCATAAGCACATGGAGAGTATCTAAGTAACAGTCTTAACTGAGATATCTATCTATCTATCTATCTATCTATCTATCTATCTATCTATCTATCTATCTATCTATCTATCTATCTATCTATCTATCTATCTATCTATCTATCTATCTATCTATCTATCTATCTATCTATCTATCTATCTATCTATCTATCTATCTATCTATCTATCTATCTATCTATCTATCTGTCTATGTAGCTGCCAACGACTTTTAGCTTTCCTGACCGTTTAGATAATGGTATAGATTCCAAAATAAATATGCCGTAAGATGACTGTATGCGAGCATAAATCAGTAGTCATAACATGAAAATTATGACATGTATGTCATGAATGTTATGATTTAGATTTCATGGTCTTACTGCTCTTGCGTTGGTTTCATTCACATGACGCGTTGCAAAACTGGTAAGGTATGGCATGACTACATGGCGAATATTCACCTTTTCATAAACGCCTCCCTGTGCGCCACCATGGCCCTCCTTGGGCTGCGCAAATTGGCGCGTCCCCTCGAAAATGCACTGACAACGCTGAGCCCTTAACCTTTGTACTCTTTGCACATGGGCCGGGAACGTAGCACGTATACTCAGGATAACTGCTGGTCATTAAGGGTAAGTGACTGGACTCCCGTGCACAGCCCATCATGGCGGTGTTTTTTTTCCTTCCTGTGAAAAGGTGCATAAATGACAGGTCATCACGTGGAAATCATGACATGCATGTCATGTAAGTCAGACTAAACACTCATGGTGCGCTCGCGGTATATGACTGGTGCAAACAACAGAGAAAGGTATATGACTGGTGAAAACATGATAATCATGACATGCGTGTCATGTAAGAACATGACTACATGCCACGGTCATGATGCACTCGCGGTCATTTCGCTAGCTTCACATAGACGTCCCCAGAATTTCGGCTCATGCACAAGTCGCGCCACCTCTCGCAAGCTTGCAGCGGCGCTTCCCGTTACTCTATGGCAATAGAGAACAAGACATTAATAACTTCTCTATCTTGCTGGTTTTCTAAAAGCATTCTCGGTTACAAGTAACCAATGTAGAAACCTGCCGATAGGTAGAGTTTCGTTCCAGTGTTAGCAATACTGCGAGTTCGATTAATCATTATTGATAAATGCACAGCGCCTATAGGAAGCCTGTAAATAATTGGCCGTTTTCTCGCATTTGGATCGCTACTGTGGCGACGTGCCTGGAGACATCTAAAATCATTCTTTGGTTTAGGTACTGTAATGTGCCGAATTCGGTATTACGTGGCCTGAATGGTTGACAAAGGTATATGACTGGTTGACTGGTGCAAACGTGATAATTATCACACGCGTGTCATGTAAGAACGTGACTACAAGCCACACTCATGATGCGCTCGCGGTCGTTTCACTAGCTTCACATATACCAAATTAGGTATTACGTGACGTAAATGAATGACGAATGTATATGACTGGTGCAAATATGATAATCATGATATGCGCGTCGGGTAAGAGAATGTACATACCACGCTCATGATGCACTCGTGGCCATTTCGCTCGCTTCACACATACCAAATTTGGTATTACGTGACGAGAATGGACGAATGGACGACGAGCAGAAATGCCAGGCGGAAACATGATAATCTGGACATGAAAGTCATGTACGGCATAATTTATGTTTGCATCATAACGTTGAGCTGATTTTAATGTGACAATTCAACCTTCTTCATTCCTGCTTCGAACATCATCGATTCCCACTCTACGTGGGATCTACCGTTTTTGTGTGTGTGTTTGTGTGTTTGTCAAAGAAAGAAGTGCATACAATGTCAATAATACGTAGACTGTCTCGACTGTAAGGATGGATCATTATTGAGATGTTGATTAGATGTTATCGATAAACGTACACGTATAGATCTTATTTCTATGTTGACACGATATCAGTGGTTCACTGGGGTGTCTACTTAGAACAGGTAGTAACCGCGGAGCCGAATCATCAGAGTGAAATAACTTGAAGAATAAGGAATGGGGTGGATCACATTGAGCAAGCATTCTCAAATCATGAATGATAATGTGCCACTAACCCTCAAGAGGAAGGTATATAACAGCTGCATCTTGCCGGTTCTTAACTACGGAGCAGAAACCTGAAGACTTACACAAAGGGTTCAGCTTAAATTGAGGACGACACAGCGAGCGATGGAAAGGAAAATAATAGGTACATCCTTAACAGACAAGAAGAGAGCAGAGTGTGTCAGGGAACAAACCTGGGTTAAGGATATCATAGTTGAAATCAAAAAGAAGAAATGCACATGGGCCGGGAACGTAGCACGTATACTCAGGATAACTGCTGGTCATTAAGGGTAAGTGACTGGATTCCCATTGAAGGCAAACGCTCAAATAGGAGACAAAGTTTCGTGGGTGGATGACATTTAAAATTTCGCAGATATGACGTGGCTACGGAAAGCACAAGACCGGGTTGTTCAGGCTCTATACATGCGCAGGCTCTATACATGGCGGCAGGCCTGAGAGAATAAGACAAAGGAGGATATGGTATGCCCCAACAAGGTGCAGAATACCGTTGTTGTCCCTACCCCGCATGATTTAAATTCGGAAATATGTGCGGTCCTGCGAGATTTACACTTGGATAGGGTCGTTTGGCGTGTCTGCGTATATCGCTGCCGCGGAGAACACCTGTAAGGGGGTTCTTCGTAACATTGACCCGTCGATCGATGATGAAGCGCTAAAGCGCATGGCTGTTACTGGTCGAAACCCAACTGTCTTGGAGGTGAAGTGCATCAAATCCACCTCGGCTGTAGTGGTGCTTTTCGACGGCATGAACGTGCCTGATACCCCTTCCACACGGCCACCACCGAACTCTGTTAAACTCCTTCAACGTAAAGCTCCGCTAGGTAGTTCGACGGAGATGGAGTTGTATCAGTGTCACACGGCAATGACAAGGTTGCAATAGTTGCCGTGAGGGGGCTCAGCCGGCACTGTTGGAGTTTCACAGAAGTATCCCAATTTCATCCCTGGGCGTTTTTTCGTGAATCTTCGTTATGCGGTTTTTACGAAAACACAATATTAAGTACGTCTGAAGGCAACGAAGAATTAAAAATTATTTCAAATGGAAACACATTCGCTAATTGTAGCGACGCTGGCTACCTTGTGCCTAACGCTATGTTTGGACGAACTAAGGCTGTGTTCCGATACTCACCATAGACGGCTAAATAGACAGCTAAATGGACGGCAGCCATCTTAAGCCCCATTCAAATTCTCACGTAACCGGCAAAGTAGACAGCTCCGAGAAGACTGCATAGTAGACAAATACGATGCAGGCTACTTTGCTGTCTAAACAAGATGGCGGCTCAACGAATCGCTCAGATAGATTGAATATCGCCGGAATGGTCGTCTGCACACAAGCTAACGCTTTCCCTGACGCTCAATGTGAGTAACGTTTACTTGTTTTTGATTTCAACGTGAAACAAGCCAGAAAATACAACTGTTACGTTTGTTTATTTTAGCTTTTTCTTCTCGGTGCAAGGTGGCGCATTGTCGCGTAAAAGCCTTCTGAATGTGTTCCATTTCTTGGACAGCGTAGGCTCGATGCTGTCTTCTAAGCAGTCTTCGTAGACTGTCTACGTGCTGTCTAAGAATTGGAACACAGCCACTGTGTCTCTGCAAGGGACGCAGCATGCTCGTAACACCATGGAGTGAATAATGATGAGTGGGGCGCAGCTTGAAAGGGTTTCATTGGTAAACAGTAAATCATCCGTCCATCTGTCCGTCCGTACGTCTGTCTGTCTGTCCACCTGTGTGTGTCTGCCTGCCTGTCCGTCCGTCTGTTTGTTTGTCTGTCTGTATGTCTATCTGTCCGTCCATCCGTCTGTCCGTTTGTTTGTCTGTTCGTCCGTCTGTCTGTCTACGATAATGGGCATGGACAGACAGGCGCGATGGCTACGACAGAGGAGGGGGGATAGAGCTGCAGTGTAAGTGCATGAGGTCTACTGCAACGCCACGTTCTCAAAGTACCCAGATACCGAAAGGCACGGTGGTGTGCGAAACGGCGTTTGTGCCCTGCTACCTTCATAGTCGCCAGGTGGGCGTTTCTTATGTCTGCAGTCAAGTTGGTCATCGGGCTGACGTCTGTCCTAGCAGTGTGGAAGAGAAATCAAACTGCTGTGGATGTGGATTTGGTCTCGGGCCCGATGGACGAAGTTCAGCATCACGTGTGCGAGCCGAAGTGAGGGTTCTGCGGGGCCCCACATCTTACGGGCTGCAAGGAATGCAAGGAGCGCTTTGAGGTGCCATATGTGGTAAGGAAGATGGTCCCCTTTGGGGTAAAGCCAAACGCAAAACCCTCGCTCCTGCGTAGAAGCAATCGGAAAGTACGGCTGTGGTCGCGGCAGTAGAGTTGGAGGCTAACCCGTCTTCTGTGGTGGGTGGCGTAGATGATAGGAATTGACACGTATGGAGACAACGTTAAATCGTATGATGGATGTTCTGTCCCCTTTGGAGGGTAGGATCATGGTGTTGGAGCGTCCAAAGGCTCTTGCTAAGGGCAGGCATGAGCTGGTACCCGAATCGCAGTTGCAGAGAGACC